AGGACGCCACGCGCTGTACACCCGCCCTACTCATGTTGGGACGGGAGCTGCGGTCACCAGCTGAGATGGCTTTCGGTAAACCACCAGAGGCACTGGGGATCATGGGTCCCTTTCCATGCACAGATAAAGGTAACCGCTATGTCCTGGCCGCCATGGACTATTTTACAAAGTGGCCGGAGGCATACGCCATACCAGACCAGGAGGCAGAGACAGTCGCGGATGCCTTGGTGGATGGAATGTTTTTCAGGTTTGGAGCAGCTGAAGTGGTTCATAGTGATCAGGGCAGGAATTTTGAGTCAGCCGTGTTCACTGCAATGTGCGAGCGCCTGGGGATGAAGAAGACGCGAACTACACCTCTGCACCCCCAGAGTGACGGGCTGGTTGAGCGTTTTAACAGAACGCTGGCAAAACAACTAGCCATCCTCACTGCAGAACACCAGAGGGATTGGGACATGCACCTCCCTCTCGTCTTACTGGCCTACAGGTCGGCTGTACAGGACTCCACCCGCTGTACACCCGCCCTACTCATGTTGGGACGGGAGCTGCGGTCACCAGCTGAGATGGCCTTCGGTAAACCACCAGATGCACTGGGGGCCCCACCCGGTCCAGAATATGCCAGGAGGCTTCAGGACCGGATGGAGTCAGCTCATGCTTTTGCCCGTGACCAGCTGCAGAAAGCAGGTATAAGACAAAAAAGGAACTATGACATGAGAGCCAGAGGGAAGGACTTTACGGTTGGGGACTTGGTGTGGGTGTATAACCCGAAGAGGAAGAAGGGGCGGTGCCCTAAGTTGGACTGTCACTGGGTGGGTCCTTGTGAAGTATTGGAGAAACTAGGGGAGGTGGTGTACAGGGTCCAGCTGCTGCCTAGGGGGGGGTGAGTGGCTCTCCACAGGGACAGGTTGGCCCCATACCGAGGCAATGCCCGGCCGCACCAGTGCTCTGGAGCCTCCCGGAGAAGTGCGTCGACCACACACCCAGATGCCTGAACTGTTCATCCTGGCAGTTCGCCACCCCTGAACCTGCACACCAGCAGGATGTTTCTTCACTTGGCATGTTATGATGTTCTAAATTGTTATGGTTCCTTGATGGGTGTGGAGCTTCAGGGGTTAAGAGGTGTGAGAGCAGCAGGGAGTGAAGTGTGGGGGATTTGAGCTACAGAGGGTGTTAGCAGGCTGTTTTTCTTTATTGTTGTTGGGCTGTTGTTTTGGCGTGGTTACGGCCAACAGTAACCAGTTGTGTGGAGTTAATAAAAAGCGACTATTCGCCGGCACTCAAGGTTGTCTTCCTTGTGTCCTGCGGCACGCTACAATATGTTCATGACCCTTGTTATGTTGTTACTTTGTGTTTTTGTCCAATTAACCCTCCTTTTTTTTTTTAACTAGCACCTGGGTCGGCACACTTGAGTCCTACCGCAGTTCTCCCTCACCCTCCTGGTGAGGGGGACTCAACCATAACAGAGTTAGGGATGAGTTCTTTGTAACACACCAAGTAAAGTATAAATGAGCTGCCAAAGAAGGAAAACTGCAGTGATGTCTGTACAGTGTTAAGTCTTCAAACAGCTTCACGTCATTGCGCTGCGTCTGAAAGCTGTGGTTGACTGGCTGTGTGACAGGAGGAAGAGCTTCTCTCTTAAACCCTTGTTTTTCTCATTTTGTTCAGATGGTCAGTTTTCAGGTGGACAACACCATGAGCATGTTCCAGGAGAGACTGTGAAATTTTAAATTGTGCATTGAAAGACTTTTCACTCTGCCTTTTAAGAGTGAACAACTCAAACAGCTGTAGACAAACACTGTACATTCCTTTTAATAATCTAAATACTAGGATGTGGACTCTGCTATGTAACAGGACATTCATGAAGGAGGCCAGCGTTTGCATTTAGACCCACATCAAAGACGTGCAGCTGTAGGTGTGGACGCGTTGGTCCTGTGATGGACTGGTGGAGGGATGGGACTACATCCTGGCACATTTACAGTGATGTTGATAAAATGTCAGTGTTAGTGAACTGGCATTGTTCCACTTAATCTAACAAAGTAATGGATCTGCAGTTAGCCTTCCCCTAACATCAACCAAACAGTACTGCATGTGCACCATGTGCCGATATTGTAAAGAGATTTTTAAAAATACCAGTGTTAGTCTCTGTCTGGGGCTCTACAGAATTGTCCAGTATCGATGTTCTTGTCTGGTGTCAACACTACAAAATCAACCCACAGTTGTAGAACAGAGCAGCTTGTTCAACTGTAGCATAGTGTGGCCTTTAGCTGAAATATGTTAATTACCCTGCGGTGAAGCAAATACCAGCCCCAGGCAAACTGTGCATAGGCAGAAACAGCTGTACAGAGAGGCCATTATCTCGGGTGAAACCTAATTTTTTAGCCACTCTCAGACACTAAAAGAAGCAGCGTCTGGTAGAGAAAGAAGGGCATGGCCATACCTGATCCCCTCTAGGGTGCCAGCTCCTCCCACCAGCACCAAATCAAGGCCACTATTACAATCATTCCTATGAAGGGGATGGAGAGAACAGGGGGCTCACACGGGCGAGTGCAATTCTAGGAAGAAGACAAAAGGCAGGAGTGGGGAGTGGGGGGAGAGAGGAGTATAAGAGGAAATAAAACCACAAAAAAAATCTGGATAATGTGTGAGGGAGAATGGAGAGTGTGGAGTAAAATCAAGTGAGCTGATATGAAAGATAAAGTGAGAAACACAGAAAGAAAAGAGGCAGGCTGACAGGCAGGCAGGGTGGCCATTGAAACTATCAAATCTTTAGAGAACTGGATCAAGATATTGTGTAAAATTCATGTAAAGCAGCAGTGATCAGACAGGGATGAAGGGAAAGGTGGAAACGGATGCAGCAGGCGAACAGAGGCAGTCACAGGTGGTTAAAGACAAGATGGAGAGCTTTTGTCATCACAGGTCAAACACATCTACATCTTGTCATTTAAGAATCCCTGTCGACACTGACGTGCTGCTTATAGTTGACCCAGATCAGCAGCAACTGGGTGAATTCAAGGTGGGTTCAAACATGTTGTGAAGCACAACAAAAATACCAGAGTGACAGGATAGGAGGAGCAGGGGTGGGACCACATCACATTTCAGTCATGGATCCAGAAAGTCTAAAAGTGGGGATGCACATGACAACTGGCTGGAACTGACAGGCTGGACAGGACATGCTCAAAGTCAGGAGGGAGCACACACTGAACCACTGTCCATAACCACCGCAAGTTGTGGCTGTAGACGAATCCGCTAATCCTGTGAGATTATGCACCAGCTATCACGGGTCCATGTACCAAAACAAACGTGGACGCCAACCAGCAGCTTGCACTGTTTATATAAACTGCAGTCTAGTCTGAAAAGCCCATGAGGAACTCCACATTATCAGTCAAGTAGTGTCTTTGATTTAATGTTGTAGAGACAGTTCGCTCAGTGTTTCCTCCACTCTACTTGTCCAGAGCACGTTCACACTACAGTCCTTTTTGCTCTCCTTTCATCTTTATTTACTGTGCATCTCCATCATACCTGACATCATCGGTCACTGATGTAAATCGCAAATATCAAACATTTAAAAAATCTTTTTGCACATGGATCTGAACACTGAAGATTATAGTCTGTATGTATCAAACACCACACAATTCTATCTGCCAACTGTCGACATCGACTGACACGGACCGGACTTTGTCCAACTTGCTATGATCAGTCAATGCATACATTTTTGTTCATAATGAACTCAGTTGTTGTGTGTCCCCACCTTTGGACTGGCAAGGCCAAAGTCTAGTCTCACGTAAGAACAAAGTCAGGTCTCCAAGAGGCAAGGCCCACATTCAGTTTCATGTCAAGATAGTCAGTGGCCAACAAGTCACCTGTAGACCTCTGTCCTAAGTCCTAGCCATAAATCAGGTCCTAAAGTCTTAGTCCTAAATCAGGTCTAGGGGAGTATTGCCCCAAGTCAAATCTCAGTTGTATGATAACACTCAAGTCCATGGTCACGTCAAACCATAAGCCAAGTCTCAAGTCAGTAATCTCAAGTTAAAGCTGATGCCGAGGTTCAAATCCATTTTGACATGGGCCTGTCACTGAGTGTGTGACTCAAGTCCTCACCTGAGTCGTGAGCTCAGGCAGACAGAACATCCCTACAAGACATTTTATCAGCCAGTCAGATTAACAGAGGCTCCTGTAGTCTGCACGGAGGAGCTGGGAAGTTTAGCACAAGCAGAGCCAGACAGATACCAAAGCTTTGACAAAAACAAACTGCTCAGTGGCAACAGACACAACAAAATGCTCAAAACCAGCTACACAAGCAGGGCTGCAAACTATTACTGCAAACCAGACAGCAGAACAACCAGTGAGGCATCAAGCTTTTATTGAGCCGCATGCCCACAGTTTGGACTTCATGAAATGAACAAGAACATCATAATTCAGGGTGGAGTTTGCATTAGGAGCCGTGCACTTACCTGGAACTTTTTAACTGTTTTACACAACAGCTGAGAGAAATGTTGGGACTGTTTCTAAGGGTTGTAGAGCGCTAATGTCCCATGTTGACCATGAAGGTTTTAGCCCAGTAAAAGATTTCTAAGGCACTTTCAGTTGTACTAAGGTCAGGAATCATACACGTGACTCCCCAATGTACTTGAGCCTTGACCATGGACCTCTCACCTCTGACTTCCAGCCCACCAGTTTCTGCAGCTCAGCCCTGCAGTGCTGCAGCTCCTGCTCAAGTGCCGCTCGCTCCTGCTGGCTGCTGTCATACAGCTGCTGCAGCTCAACCAGCTCTCCCTTCAAACCGTCACACTGACAGAAAGACAGAGGAACAGTCACTGTACAGAGACAGCCCATCCAGGCAGGTTTATCAGCAGACAGCAGCATCCTGCAGATGCCATGTTTATAATTTTAGAAACACTGTTCTTAATCCCTGTTTTTAATACAGAATTTTGCGTGGACCTCTGTCTGCAGACCATGCTGCATCTCTTCGGTGATTGTCCCCCAGAGTTCCTTTATTTTGTTTGTTTTAGTAAAGATGCAATGATTGGATAAGGAACTATGTGTCCAGTGCTGTTGGTTATGTATGTGTGTAAGGAAGAAAGAACTGTGAGCAAACCCACAGGCTGCAGCAGCTCCAGCAGATGATAGTGGACTTTAGGAGGAGTCCCCCCCACCATACTTGGCAGCACTGTATCAGCAGTAAAGTCCTACGTTCCTGGGCTCCACTATCTCCCAGAACTTGAAGTGGACGTCCAACATCAGGACCATCACCAAGAAGGCACAGCAGAGGATGTACTTCCTGCTCCAGCTCAGGAAGTTTGACCTGCCCCAGGAGCTGCTGATACAGTTCTACAGAGGAATCATCGAGTCTGTTCGCTGCACCTCTATCACTGTCTGGTTTGGCTCAGCAACCAAACAAGACAGGAACAGACTTCAGCAGACAGTGAGGACTGTAGAAAAGAATCATCGGTGCCAATCTGCCCTCCATGGAGGACCTGTACACCTTACAGGTCAGAAAGAGGGCAGAGAGGATCATTGCAGACTCCTCACATCCTGGACACAATCTGTTTGAACTCCTCCCCTCTGGATGGCGTTACAGGTCATTGTGCACCAAGACAAACAGGCACAGGGACACTTTCTTCCCTGGGCTGTCACTCTAATGAACAGCTAGTCTTTGTTGGTCTTTTAACTTGTGATTTAACTTTTATTTTTATGTTGAGCACATTGGGGGCCATTGAACTGGAGTCAAATTCCTTATATTTTTTAAATACTTAGCAATAAAGTTTATGCTTATGCTTTATTATAATCCAAAGCAAAGTTGGTTTGTAGCCACAATCAAATACACTGAGGCAGACAAACATCAGTCCACAGTGAACAACATTAAATATGTCACCACATAGTGCTGGAGTATGTTGCTGCAGGATTGTGGAAATGAGATCCAGCTTCACAGTTCAGCTCCAGTTACATCCAGTCACTTGTACATGTAGTGAAGTCCATGTGTTGCTCACCTCTCTCTTGACTTTGTGAGCTGCCTCCTCAGCTTCTCTTAGCTGCACCTTCAGAATGTTCAGCTCTGACACCAAATCCCCATCCTCCGGGGGTCGGCCCTTGTGCTCAGGACCACACTGAGACAGAGTGATGTAGCGGTCTGTGGTTGTAACCTTCTTGCCCTGCTCACGCTCAGTGTCACCCTCCGCTCTGACCGCCAGGTACACATCATCACACCTGCCCAGCAGCAAGACACAGAAATGTGGAGACTCTTCACTGAGTCACTCGGAGCATAATTTACCATTACATTAAGCCAGTATTATCAGATTCAGAGCTGACTCAGAATGCATAAGCAAGTTTAAAGCAGGTTTGTAGGATAATTCAGGTTAAAGTCACAGTGACACATAATTCTGAACCACTGTGTTTAAACTAGAGATGGTTTTCTACCAAACTACACAATTAATTATATATATTTCATGCCGAACATTTAGCCTTTGACTATGAATCTGAAAGAACCACCATGAAGTATTGGTGTCCCACAAGGATCGATTCTTGGACCCCTCCTATTCAACCTGTGCATGCTTCTGCTTTTTTTGAACTTTCCAGGAATGTAGTGTTACTTATCACAGCTACCCAGAGGACACCCAGACATACTTAAAGCTCTCACCAAATGACTGTGGTCCTATAGACTTATTATGGCTATGTCTTGAAAAAGTGGACAATGCAGCATTTTCTTCAACTAAACAAAGACAAAACGGTGCTTTTTTTTTTAAGAGCCCACAGCACTTTTCCTTGTTTTCTGACTTATCTACAATGTTACAATGGTGAATTATCATCTTAGATGTGATCTAAAGCTCAAAAAATGAGGTGAACGTATGTTCTATCATTTTTATGCAGAAGCAACTGGGTTTATACACGTCTCGCAAACTCGCAAACAAAATTAAGTATTATGTGACAGTTTAAGGATTTCCTTGAATGGGCATAAATCCAGGCTGTTTCGCATTCATATGAGTTTGCCTGACATCCACTGCTGCCCCCACCATACTGGCAAAATGTTATACTGCCTTGTTATGTATATTTTCAATAAAGCTTATTTAAAAAAAGATATCCATGCTGCCATTGTAAAAGCAGAATTTTTTTGACTGTGCCTGGTTTTGTGGAGATATTTTACCTCCTGCTGCTGCACTGTGACCAGAGGATGTGAAGGAAAATACAGGGCCTGAGGTTACTGCATGTCCGGGAATGTTCCTGTACAGGGACTCACTGTTTTACCTGACCAGGTCTAACCTACAAGCAGCCCCCGGCAGCGGTTAGTGATCAGTTGATCAAGGCTGGATTCCCCCGGAGCACAGTACCTGTTTGTTTTGACTGCTTGAGGCCAGTGTGTCTGCTGCTTGTGATGTGTTGGTGGTTAACCAGCGGATTAATGACCCATGATGTTATTGTTGGTGCTACGCTACCTGTTGGAATTAGTTTCACTACTTTGGGACTGTATGTGGTTGTGTGGGGGAAGACGCAGCGACCACCGGTTGGATTTACCGACCTTGGAGCTACTTGAAAGGGAGCAATGTTTCCACTACTCAGTGGGACTTAACGGTGAGTTTAAAAAACACATGTTGCGTGTCTGTTAATGCCTTATTTCTGTAACGTTAGAATTGTTGTAAGGCTGGAGAAGTTACTATGTCTGTATTATGCCAGTCAGTTAAAATATGGGCTTTCTCAGTTACTTGCTTTGTTTAGAGTGTTACACATCTCTTTTCATCAGTACATATATTGTTGTTTACCTATCTATGGAGGAGATATTCACGCCGTCATGATTCATTGTGCTGTCCACTTGCAATAACACCAGCAGCAGGAGTTGTGCATGTTTACGAACTATCCTCTCCTTTTTAGGAAGACACTTACTAGTTCTCTGATTCTGAAGTAATTACAGACTATTTGGAGTTATGAGGGGTGCCAAGCTTAACTAGAGGTACCCAAGATTAAACATTAAATGGCTGGAAATGAGCAAAATGGGGAGTTTAAGTAAAGAAAGAAGGCTGGCGGTGAATGACTACCTTAAGTCCAGGACAACCAGAAACCCTGGATAAACAGTCAGGTACGCCACATGCTGCGTGCTTGCTCTCATGCATTCAGATCAGGTGATGAGACGGAGTACAAAGCTGCGAAGTACAGACTGAGGAAAGCCATCACAGCAGGCAAGAGGCAGTATGGAGAGAAGCTGAATGGCTTCTATTCTACTGCTGACTCCGGACGGATGTGGCAAGGCCTGCAGCACATCACAGACTACAGGACCACCACCACCAGCATCATCAGCTCCACAGACAGCCTGCCGGATGACCTCAACATCTTCTACACCCGCTTTGAGACCTCCAGCTACAGCACAGAGAAGAGGCACACATACACCTGGACCGACCAACCCCCCACCTCCCCTCCACTAACTGTCTCACCAGGCCAGGTATGCACAGTCCTGAGGAAGATCAACCCCCATAAAGCGGCAGGACCAGACAACATTCCTGGGAGGGCTCTCAGGGCATGTGCCAGCAAGCTGGCTGATGTTCTCACCACCATCTTCAACCTCTCCCTCAGCCAGAGCATCGTTCCCACCTGCTTTAAGACCACAACCTTCCCAAGAAGATGGTCACCTTCCTGAACGACTACAGGCCAGTGGCACTCACCCCAATCATTATGAAGTGCTTTGAGAGAGTGGTGCTGGCCCGCATCCAGAGCAGTGTACCGGACACACTGGATCCCCTGCAGTATGCCTACCGGCCCAACAGGGCCACCTCAGACACCATCAGGGCTGCACTCCACTATTCCCTTTCTCACCTGGAAAATGGAGACTCCTACATCAGGATACACTTCACAGCTCTGTCTTCAACACAGTTGTCCCCCACAAACTCACCCCCAAACTGTCCACACTGGGTCTGCACCCCACCCTCTGTGACTGGCTCCTGGACTTTCTGACTGGCAGGCCCCAGACT